TTTTTCAGATTTGTGAACAATATTTGAGAGAAATGGTTATTTTGTGTATATAGAAAATGTTTTAGATCTTTGAGTTCATCTCATGAAAAATGGGAGTAAAAACAAAAGTGTTGCATTTATAATTTTGTTCAGTGTATGTATGTTGATATGTATGCACATGTACATGTGTAGACATTTGCTATTTCAAACAACCCCTGTGTACTTTTTCATTTTTCTTTTATTTTGACTAATTTTTTTTGCTATTTCATTTGTCGCTTTCGGGTCTCTAAAAATATATGATTTGAAAAAACTGTACTTGTATTATAATGTGACCCCAAATAAATAAAGAATACAAATAAATAGATGAAATCAAGCATATGGGCTGTGCGATGTCACACAGCCACGAAAACATGCCAGAGCTCTCCAGCCTTGGCCCCAATTTGAGAGGGTGACAGGAAACAGTGAGGGGAGAGATGGCAGAGTTACTGTAGAGAGGCGAGCGTGAGCTCTCCAACCACATCCCAACACCACAGGGCGACTTCACCCTTTTTAACAACACCATATTTCCCCAAAATGTATCAGACGTAGCACGTGATAGCAAAATGGCAGTGAAATCTCTGATAAATCCAGGGAGCTTTTCTCTTGAGGGAAGGGCTGTCTGCTAAAATCATTTAAAGGGAGTGACGAGAAATTCTATAACTGTACAAATAACGAGAAGTAAGTAAAAATAACTCCTTCAGATATATCTTAGGGGTTAAACGAAGATTACATGGACAAGAAAGAAAAAGGAACCCATTTTTGGTACATAGCATGATGCACAGTTTCAGTCTTGGTTCTTTGTGAAATAATGTGGAGCTCTTCAGGCCTTTAATTAAAATCAAATAAAGGAGGAGCTAAAAATCACTCTTTGATGGAATAGCTTTCATTTCTATCTGTGATGTGGGTGCTCAAACAGACATTGGTTAATCTTTAAGCAAAGACTGCAACATTGAGCAACCATGTATGTGTGTTTTTTCTGCAAAGAGTAGCTTTCCATTCATTTGTTTATGCCCTGCCACCTCAGAGCTATCAGTTATTGACCTAATGTCTGAGGCGGCATTAAGCTTCACTCCATCTATTCCAAGATAGTTGTGAGGGTTTGAGATGCATACTGAAGTAACAAGATCTCTGGGTGAACTCTCACAAGACGGAGATGGGGGAAGCAGAGAAAAACCAAGCAGCGGGCATCCGCCTCATACTCGGCTCTACAGGGTGCATTTGTGTGCGTGCATGAGAGTGTGTGCGTTTATGTTGTGGGTGTTTGTGTATCCCTTCTCCAGCAGGACCCCCAGATCAAAACCGCAACCCACCCTCCCTCCCCATTTCTCTCTCTTTCTCCGTCTCTCCACCCCCTCTCTCATTAAAAACTGCAGGCCTTGGCTTCTAATTAAATCCCACTTGAAAAGTCTTAAAGTCAGCCTCAGATTGATTCAATTTGCATTTCTGAACAGAGAACATTGCCTAAAAGGATTAATAAATTGGACGGAAAAAAATTCCTTCTTTCTGCGCCACGCCGTCAGAGCTTGTAAGACAACATCCAAAGAGAAATATCCCCCCTCAACAAACGTCTATCCAACATATGCTCTCGCTCTCTCTCTTGCACGTCCCTCCCAGGATGCCAGCAGAGATGTGGAAGTGTGTGTGTGTGTGCGCATGCATGTCCTCGTCTGTGGAACAAGCACATAGTCCTCTGAGGCACAGGCACGCAATCTGACTCTCACTCTGTGTGTGTGTGTGTGTGTGTGTGTGTGTGTGTGTGTGTGTGTGTGTGTGTGTGTGTGTGTGTGTGTGAGAGAGAGAGAGTGTGTGTGTGTGTGTGTGTGTGTGTGTGTGTGTGTGTGTGTGTGTGTGTGTGTGTGTGTGTGTGTATTTATGCCTGTGTGTCTGGGTATTTGAGTGTGAGAGGGGCGACTTTGTTGGAGCGTGCCCGAGTGCTGAAAGTGACAAGGAGGCACAGTGGGAAAAGATCCTTGCTGTACTGTATGCATGTGCAAAAACAGACCTCGGCAGTGGAGCCATGCATTTGGCTAGCGGACATCTACAGCAACATGTTTGCAAAACCAAAAACATATCGGCAGCCAGAGCCAGAATCAATTAGTGCGATAAAACGAAATGAGCAAGTCCCTTCAAACAAAGCAAAAGCTGAGACCGTTGCCAGAAAAGAAAAGCAAGCACTAATACAAAGAATTACAATTGAATTGAAACAGAAGTCCGTCTGGAAATGTACGAGTACAGGCTCTTTGTGCATTTGTGACATAAGAAGAATATTCCTTTGTGACATTTCGTCTGATTATACCTATCAGGTGCATTTGCAAATAAATCTTATAATTTATTTTCATTATAAGTTCAGTTCTTTATGATGTTTTTATCCGATCAGTGGAGATCACTCATGATCCTTCGTTCATAAAAGCGCTTTGCAAGCGTTGCAGAAGAACTGAAGTGTGTTGCTAATGTTTTTCCTGTATACCCACTGTGAACATTTGAAAAGTATGACTTAGACCAGAGCAGACTGTTGGATGGGAGACATTGTCACTGTTGTTATTTGCTACTCAAACTGGCTTGTATAATGGCTGAATGACTTTAATAGACTGCTGGGAGCTCAGTGGTTGAAGCCGTATTAATAAACAACTAGAACCACATGGAGGTCCTGACAAACAGACGGGCACACAATATACAGTAGGCATGGCTCCACTGTCTGTAATTACAGCAACACAGGAAGAAACTACAATTTGATTCGTCCTCAGATACATCTAACACAGAACTGTATGAAAAGGAAACTAAGCCCAAGATTTTTACCTTATAATATTTGATATTTATTGAAAATAAGATCCATATTTAGAATTAACGTCTGAGAGTTTAAAGAGGATCGTGAGGGCAAAATTATAAGTGGTATGTTGCTGTGCTCAGAGGAAAGCACAATATAATCACGATGAAATTAATTCACAGAGAGGAAAGTGGCAGAATGATCTTGCCCTGCTTTGTATAAACCAACACTGACCCCTAGTGATATTAGTTAGGATAACCAGAAAGTGATTTGCATAATGGATGCATGCAACTGTGAACAACCTTATGTCTCTTAATTTCTCTCTTGAGTGTGTGTCTATACATGTATGTTGTTTTTTTCATTGTTTTTTCAAGTGTGTGCATGCACAGGCCATATGCATGTGTGTTTATTTCTCAACACACAGTATGTGCAATCACAGGAACACTTAGGTATAGAGTCTGAGTACAGTGCGATACCATGAGGTGTGTGTGTGTGTTTGTGTGTGTTCTAATAATGGTGCCTGGTGGACTGGGGCTTCCTTTGATGCGATGAAGGCTGACAGGCGTGAAACAGGTCCAATCAGGCGCGTGGGCACTGCCAATTAACCCTTTTCACCGTGTGAAACCAAACATAATTGCCTTGGGTGCAGGGGGCCACTGGGCCATGGCCTGCCCAGCGTAGGCTGAAATGGGCATTAGCAGTGCTGCCAGGTGACCATTACACACAATTGAACTGCTGGGGGTTTCTCCAAATCACACAGTTACAGTTGCTACCCAGACGTAATTGGCATGGCATTACTAAACGGCCCCTATTTCTAATTTTCACACCTCCACAATTTATCTGGAGTATCTTTAGACTCATTGTACTGTGCCAGGTTTATTACACTTCTGCAGGCAAACTGTATTTTTGTGGTACTTTGCCCTGATTTAGTTCTGGGAGCATGGATGATACAGTGTTTGATATATTAAATGTCTCTATTTGTAGTGAAGCTGCTATGATTCTGTTACAAATGTTATGATAATATTAACTGGAACAGATAGTGGTTAATAAGTAAAGCTCTGTGTACTGATAATCACATTGTATTCATGTTATGCTCAAGGCAAATACCCCTCGTTTTTATTCAAACACCAAAAACTAGAGCAGTTTAAATTAAACTAAAGCAGTATATTGCTGCAATAATGTTAACCAAAATACATTCCTATTCGTCTTGTTTTTATATTCTTGTGGTTAAAAATATTCTTGCGATTAATTAATGATCATGACTATTAACATAATGTGATAACATAAAAACGTTTTATTCATGAGACTTTATTTTAAATTAAAGAGCTGCATAAAAACAATGAAAAATACATTACACTACAATACATTTGCTGCATTATTACTAGCAATAGCAGTCTCAGCGCCACTTGTGTAGGTGCGATATTACATTAGCCTTTAACTACGTAACATGTATTCATAAACAGGCCGTAAGCTTGACTTATAATACAAATTAGTAATGTATTATTATATTAGTAATGCCACTCAATTGACAGTTGGTTCACCTATCTTAAACTAATTCAGCATAATACATAATAACAGTCCTGCGATAAATCCCATCTTCATGATGTTCATGATGTTTTCGTATGTGTTATTTATATAAATCTGCATTCACACACAATCAGTGGCCAAACTGCACTGATTGTTAACTAATTGTAATTATCACAAATACAGCCTGCTAATAAATTAGCACAATTTAAATTGGGCAAATAGTACTGTACACCACAGTGTGCATACTGTGTACATGCATTATATGTTTTGGTACTGCATGTAAGAGATACTAGATCAATTATCATTGGGATAAGATAAGATCATGTATTAATCCCTGTAGGGAGATTCAGGTGTCAAAGCAGCAACAGTAGGCTACTAAGAGTGAAACACAGGAAAGAAAAGAAAATAGTTCATACAAGCATCACGATAATAACAAATAAAGAATGTAGGATGATTTTAAAATTACATTTATTATTATGAATATGTTAAATACATAAACATGTGAATTGGAAGTGCAAGTCCAAAGTAGGTAGTCATACATTTAAGTGCAGGTTGTTAGAAGTGTTTATTTTTACATAAGGATATTTTATATATTTATAATGTGTTTCATATTGTTATTGTTTCATGGCTGTCTTTCTCCCATCTTCACCTTCCGCCAGGGGTCGTATTTTAACCCTCTCTCCATCCTCCATCCTGCCCGCCTGTGTGACTGACTGCCCAACGAGAAATGTTGGCAAAACACCCCCTCCTCATCGTGTAGGGAGAGAAAATATGGCGGACAAGCGCTAAATCCACATCAGAAACAAACACACACGTTACAAAGCAAGGTAAACATCCTCGGATACATCGAGCACGTCCTCTTTTAGCCTCGGCTTCAGCATTGCGCCCAGATTTCCACTGGTTAGCCTCTTGTATGCTACTCTGCTCCCTTTCTGCTAATGCTAATATTTATAATCAGGAGCTAACGAGCCACCTAGCATGCTAACGTAGCATCCCGGGCAGTGGGCATGTATCTGTGTTGCAGTGCGTAGCATAGCATGCTGGAAATAGTGTCTGCACGACTGCACTTTGCATGCATGGCTTGTTTTCATTCATTGTTAATGCTTTATACCTTAAAGTATATCCTCAGTGCAGTGTTTGCCTCCTGAAATAGCAATTGTGTCACGTAAGTGAGCATCTAACCCGAATGCAAATACACCCCAGGAGAGGGCGGTGGGGGTCCCATGTGTTGGCTTTGTGTTTTGAATGGAGCACAACACATTCTTCCATGTGAGACGCGATGTTTGTGGCTATAAATGGCAACAGCGTCCCGTGTAGATGACAGAGAAGTGGCACAAGCTGGGTGTTGAGTTGTAAACACTCAGTGGGTCAGCAACAGGAGGGAGGAGTGCCTGCTGCTCTCTAACGCCAGTCCTGTCACTTTACCCAGACGGAAACACGCAGGGACCGGGCCGCTTTCATTTGGACGCCACCCCCCCTTGGCGGAGGAAAAAGGCGCACTTCCATTGAAGAGGAAATCATCCGGGGAGGAGAAACACTGCGAAACGGTTATGAAGTTTTAAGGTAGGTAATGTTTATATGAGCACCAAGTTACTTTGTCGGTTCTCTGTTGCTATGTTGGGCGAATTCCTTTGCGACTTTAATTATAATACCTCTCAGAATAAAGCCGCTGTAAATGTTAAGCGGACAAGTGTCGCTATAACGTTACTGTGTGTCAGTACTGGCTTGTGCATGTTTTAAACACTTGCACAATTTCTTTCACTCGTGAATTGAAGTATCAGAAACTTTAAATGTTCTTGATAATTAGCAGGTTTTGTCGCCAAATATGTGTCGCTATATTTTACATATCAAAACTTGTTTGGAAATGTTTAAAAAGCCCTCGCATCTTTTCTGTTAGTTAGCTTGTTTCTGCCTCATCATAAACGTAAATCTAATCTTAGTTGTGGTCTATTTTTGATTTACTTCATGTCAAATAAATGCCACTGAACTGTGGGACTAGAAAGACTATTACTTGAAGCACTTGTTCAGTCTGACCTGTTGACCTGGATGTTGTGTCTGGTTGGTAAAGTTGATTAAGGTTACATTAGGAGTAAGTGAGCCTTACAACATGTTGCTCTTATCCAGTGGTTGATATTCTGCCTAATAAAGCTTTATCTTCTTATAAACACAATATTATATTTTTATTTTGAATGAGATTACTACATGGTATAGATTCATATATTATCTTGTAATAGTCATGTAATACAAATAAAAGCAATTTGAGCTCAGTGATACACACACATGTTTGAGGCAGTTGGTGATATATATATATATGGTTAATATCGTAGTGATTTAGAGGCTATAGTTTGTGCTGCTGTTTTATTACGAGGTGTTTCCAATATTTGGTCCCCTTCGTTTATATCAATTACTGCCTGAACATGCAGTTAGCACAGCAAGGAGCTTGTATTGCATTTTGATATGTAAGTGAATCCTTAAAGTGTGAAAGAGCTGATTAAATCCATATGTAGTACATTGTCGGCGTGCTCTCGGGTCTCTTTGTTGAACTTGCCTCGGGTTTGCCTCCCATGACGACCCCCTGCCTGGAGAGTAGGCCAGCGAGCTACACAGATAACAGGGGCAGCGCTCTGGTTTCCCTTAGAAATGCAGTACAGTTAACACGTAGGAGCCTAACCTTGGCTCTGAATGCTCCTGAATGTTTGTTGGTGGGATCAAGCCTACAAATAGTTAGATTTTCAAAGTTACTTTCTGATATAACAACAAAACAGACCCTTCATTTTTAAACACATTTACAGTATAAATTAGATGCCTAGTCCCTAATCCCTTTGAGATATACAAATAAAACTCATTATTGACATAAATAAGGGTGGTTAAATCTTCCATTCACTCAAAAAAAGCTTTTAACTATAAACGCACAATATATTAAAGCCTGCTGGGTCTCGTATACGTTTTACGATGCCTTCAGAACAATTTAAACCGCAACCCCTTTGAGTAGGTTTAAGGTTGGAGAAATACCATCTGCCTGACAGTACTATACATTGAGCTTATTCCAGCTCTTGCCTTTGAAATAAAGTTAAATGAACCAACATACAAGTGGGTAGGGCTGCTCGATTATGGCAAAAATCATAATCTTGATTTTTTGGGTCAATAATTGATATCACGATTATTAAAAACGATTATCCATTTACTTTGAAAACATTAATTTATAGAAAAGAAAAATGTGTAGTATGTTTTTAACAGTGGATTACCCTGAACTTTAAGTGTAATTCAATTGAAAAACCAATACAAAATATATAATCTCTTTTTTTTTTTAAATAAATAATAATAATCTTTTTATTTCGATTATGGTTTTTTCATAATCGTTGAAAGCCAAAATCGTAATTGCGATTAAAATATGATTAATTGAGCGGCCCTACAAGTGGGTCTTTGAGGTTTTAGGGATGATGGTCTTTTTAAATGTATACATTTGTGTTATATGATGCTTACACCTTTAGGGATAAACTATATACAGTATAGTGTGTGAGGTTCTTTTGTTTAAGATGCTGTCTGGACTATATATTTTTACCAGCTTCATCTACAATAAAATGGTCACATTATCATATTATTCACTTTATTTAAAGCTCTAACATAGTTTTGTGCCTTTTTGTTCCTATAGAGTGGAGGCCACTGTTGTGTTGTGAGCTTGGTCAGTATTATTGGAGCATGAGGAAACCTGTGCCACAGAAAGGTAAGAATTGATCACACCACGCTCGGGTATGATTTGTAACAAACAATATTCATAGAAGCCTGCTCGGGGAGTTAGAAGTATAGCACAAACAACCCCTGTGTTTTTACTGTGCAGGCAGATTCATATATTATCTTGTAATAGTCCTGTTATCCCAGTCAGTGTTTGGAGCAGGGACTGGGGCTTGTATTGCAAGGTACTGACTGATGTGAAAATCACCCGTAGTTTAGAGCTTATTCTATCTGTCTCGGCTCCTGTAGCTTTAGAGTGGAAAGATGCCAGAAGGATCAAGCATGCCCGGAGTGGACGGCCCTCCCGGGTGCCCTCACAGTACCAAGGTAAATAACCCACAGCAGCCGGTGATATATGAAGGCACTTTTGAGCAGTTCCAACGGGAAAATAGTGCCAAGGGATTTGACTCAACATTTTTCATGAATCATCAAGACAAAGTTTGCTACAAATGTGGATAATAGATGTTAAGCCTTGTGTGTGTTTGGCCTTTTGGGTTGAGGTTTACAAAACATGTAGAATTCAAGTCAAAATGTATAAAAACCTGAACATTTATACAGCTCATCACGACTGGAAAAAACACATTTACACAACGTTTTCATTCTGATGTTGTTCTTCTACAGGGCATTTTAGTTGGGACAAATACCTTAAAGAGACAGGGGCCTCGAGCGCTCCCTCTTCTTGCTTCAGACAGGTGAGCAAGAATGTGCACTCTCAACTCAAAACTATTTGTTAGCATATCTTCAACTCAGTTATTTCTCCACTGCTGTTCAAATGTTGACACTCTCTAACTTGTCTGTCATCACCATCTAGAGCCTCACACCTCCACTCAACGAGTTCAAGGCCGGGATGAAGCTGGAGGCCCAGGACCCCCGAAACACCACGTCCACTTGCATCGCCACAGTGGTGGGCCTGACGGGCTCGCGGCTGCGGCTGCGCCTCGACGGGTCGGACAACAAGAACGACTTCTGGCGCCTCGTGGACTCCTCAGAGATCCAGCCAATCGGCAACTGTGAAAAGAGCGGAGGCATGCTGCAGCCCCCGCTTGGTAAAGACACAGACAAAGGCTCTCTGAGGACACAGTGTCTCTTTTTCATTTTAGGTCCACTAGGTGTCAGGGACTAACAGCACCAAAAAGTCAATGTGTCATGTTGTTGACTATAAATAACTTCCTGACACAACGTAGAAAGCCTCTTATCTAGATCATTTCCGTATTACCCCATGGGAAACAATCTATATACATTCTACACTCCTATATATCTGTAGGGCTGCAACTAATTACCCTTTCATCATTTATTAATCTGCTAATTATTTTCTTGATTAATATTTGAGTCTAGTAAATGTCCAAATGTGCTAAAAACTCATTCGATTTTAATTTCAAGTCAATTTAATTTCCTAAGATGTGTTGTTTTGACCGACCAGCTGTCCCAAACTCTAAACATATATTTAATTGACGGTAATACAAAACACAGAAAAGCATCACCATGTTTTGAGAAGCTGGAACCAGAGTTGTGGCTTGAATGATGACTGAAATAACAAATCAATCAATTATGAAAATGGTTGCAGGTCATTTGTATTCACTTGACAAAGTGATTATTTTTGTTCCCATTATTTCTTTCTTCAATCTCAACATGTTTATCATATAATATTTAGATTTTAAGATTTTTTAGCAATGACAACTTTTTTTATGTCTAATGCAGGTTTCCGTCTCAATGCGTCCTCTTGGCCCATGTTCCTTTTGAAAACACTAAATGGAGCTGAGATGGCGCCCTCGCGCATCTTTCACAAGGTACCTGTGCATGGCTCACAATCTCAATACACTCTAAAAACAACTTGCTGTCCCGGGGTTTATTCACTAATTATAAGATTGTACTCTCTTAAACAACTATTCACCAGCATTAAGTAGATGTACCTGCACTTACCTGGTACAAATAAATACACACATGCCAACTTCATACCTGACCCCCTGTCGTTCTCTTCGTGTTCCCCAGCAGGAGCCTCCCGCCCCGGAGCAGAACTCCTTCCAGGTGGGCATGAAGCTGGAGGCGGTTGACCGCAAAAATCCCCACTTCATCTGCCCGGCGACAGCTGGTGCGCTGCGTGGTGTGGAGGTGCTGGTCACCTTCGATGGTTGGCGGGGAGCCTTCGATTACTACTGCCGCTACGACTCGAGGGACATCTTCCCCGTGGGCTGGTGCGCCCTCACAGGGGACAACCTGCAGTCGCCTGGAACCAAAGGTCTGTATCTTTCATGGCTGGATGTTTTTATATCTCAGCAGAAATAGTTTTCACTGTATTGCTAAGGAGGCTGAAACACACCAAACAGGTTGGTCGTTTAGGAAGACTGATCCTTTAAAGACACAAACAGTCACGGTCCACCTACTCATGGTTTTTACTTGTTGTCCTGATTGGATGTCTTTTTCTTAGGATAGTGAGAGTGTACAAATGGACATGTCCTTGTCTCTCCAGAATCCAGATACATTGGTATGTTAAGATCAGCATTCACAGACAAACAACTACCTTCACTACTTTGACCAACTTTAACATGAGCAGAGATCCAATCACTGTGGTTAACATGAAATACCTTTATTGGTGTGCAGGGTCTTTAAAAACAGAAAGGACAACATTACCCAAGTAGGCAAACTGTGATACCTCATTATCTAGCTTAGTAGAAGGAGCATTTTATCCCGTTGCCGCCTCCTCCTTGTATGGAGCTTATTATTTTTTTTTCGGGAAAAGTTTCCACAATCACCACGACTACTTTGGGATAACTATTGTTAACTATTTGGTTGAGTTGCCTCGTAGCAAAATGCTCTCTGCAGGGTTCTTACGGTCATTCAAAACCTGGAAAAGAGATGGAAATTCAAAATGCAAATTCCAGGCCCTGGAAAAGTTATGGAAAACAATAGTTTTGGAAAACTAAAGTTGCATCAAATATAATTTATATTTGATCTAATCGCAGAAATAAAATGGCATTTAACTGATGAGGTGTTTTGCTGGTGAGAGATTTTAGTTGCGTTAGCCTGTAGAAGCTAGTAAGCCTACTGTTGGATTTGTTTTAGATAGGCTCAACATGTTTCATATGCAGACCTTATTTTCCTGTTCCATGTTCAAATAAACCATTTTCATTGGTGCCGCTGAGAAAGAGTAATTTCCTTGGTTATGGAAAATTAGGGAAAGGTCATTGAAAATCATTGGTGAAAAAGTGTATGAACTCTGTCTCTGGTACGCAGTGATGCAGTGTATATGTGTAGGGCTTTTATTGTGAAGGTAAGAACGGATGGAGTGTAGTTGTGATGGGATGATAAAGATTCTGCTGGATTGGTTCAGACTACAGAGCCTTGTATTGCTGTTTTATTACTTCCATAATTAAGACGCTTCCCAAGAGCTATTCTCCTTCTTTGTGTGCCATAAATCCAGCCTTTGTTTTCCTGTGAGATTGCAACCCTATGGCAGATAGGTCTGCATATTGTAAGCGAGGCCTACAGGGAGCCAATTTAAACGCAGATGGTTTCATTATTCTACAGCCGTTAGATTGTGCAATCAGCATTTACTCCACGATGATAAGTTAAAGCACATTAAGGCGTCTAATGCTACTTTAAAATGAGATGAATTAGTCTACGGAGTTGGACACACACATTCCAATAAGTTAGTTTGTAAGACATTTTCATATTTTATATATTTATATATGGAATTTGTAATTATCATAGTTCAATTGGAACATCCATGACCTTTTTAAGTCATCAATATTATTTGTAGGGATGTCCCGATCACCTTTTTTTCTCCCGATCCGATTCCGATCATTTGATTTTGACAATTTGCCGATACCGATTTTTCCCGATCCGATCTCTATTCAATGCAATTAAAGGGAAAAAAAAGGAAAAAAAGCATTCAAGTTGTCCCATAAGGTTATTTTTTTATTTAAATTGGATATTCTATCCAACATGGATATAGCTTCTTTCTTTCACAGCAGCATTGGATCAGTTCAGTTGTGCAGCATTGGATCAAAACAAAAATAAAGCTTATCAGTACTTGTTAGCTTACTGCTACAATTAGACACTAAGGAACCAGGTCTATGAAAACAAGCCCCAAAGAAGCAACACATACATGATGTTGTGTAATTTGAAACCAAAACTAAGGCCNACTATTTTAGAGCTTGTTTTGGGACTCGACCAGCAGTATCAGCTTCGTGATGGGTCGACAGAGTGTGCTGGTTTTTGTTTGTACTTCCACTTGTCGTACACAACTGTACGACAAGTGGAAGTACAAACAAAAACCAGCACACTCTGTCGACCCATCACGAAGCTGATACTGCTGGTCGAGTCCCAAAACAAGCTCTAAAATAGTCTTTTTGTTGTCTATAATACCTCAAGTTACATCCTTTTAAAAAAATCACTGTTTGTTTGTATTCATATTTTCTGCCTGGATTAGATTAGCCATATAAAAAAAGACATGTTTAAGTATTTCCACATTTTATTGCAGTCTCCTCTCAACAGTCTCCCAAGGAGGGAATAAGTGCTTTCACAAGACAAAGGTCAACGGCAAAACCTGTGATATTATCATTAAAACAGGATCTGTGGCATATGATGCAAAGGAAAAGGAATACAAAATGTGTATAAAACAAAAACAATTATTGAAATGGGGAATTGTTAAGAGTATGCTTTTATGTGTTTGTGAGTTACTTGACCCAAGATACAAAATAGTTCTGAACCCTTTCTACATAGTTTAGCTCATTGGGCTTTTTTACAGAATTGCAGTATATACATTACATCTTGATGCATTGACTGAGGAATCAGACTTAGGGTTAAACAATCTTGATGGGAACAAAACAATTGCCTCAAAATACACTTAAGTATATTTGTACATTTGACCCCCCGTTGTCTCCATCATGAAGGCCATCTGGACTGATCCACAATCCATTCAAACCATAGAGTTAACTTTTTAAAATAACTACCATCGACCCCGTATTAAGGGTCTACAAAGGCAAACTTTATGTTATATGTGACCTGGTGTCCATTGTCCCACGCATACAAAACCCCCTCTTTTGGATTGTAGTCAATCTGCGTGGTGTAGGTGTAGTTGTTGGTGAAGGGCATTCTGGGAGTCATCTGAGTGTTTGTGTGCGTGTCGAAGGCGTATTCCAGTCTGGCGTCCCTTATGTTGTAGCTGTCAACAGCGTACAGGACGCCGCACACGATGAAGCAGTTTCCGTAGTGGTTTCTCCTGAGCCCGGTCCTCCAGGTGGTCTCCCTCTGCATGCTGAGGTCCGAGGGGTTCAGCCGACTCAGAACGACCACTTCATGTAAGAAGCCCTCATCGTCCAGAGCCGGGTAGATGATCCACAGGCCGCTTTCATCTATGGCGAAGTCGACTTCTGAGTGACCGCGCCACTCCCCCAGCGACGACGTATCTCCCACCAGAGCATCGTGCAGCATCGTCCAGGTGGCCACGTATCGCAGACGCAGGTCAAACTTGATGATGTCTCGGGAGAAGGCGCGGTTGTAGAAGAAAGCCCCGTTGTAGACCACATGGCCAGTGCCGATCCAGTTGTAAGGAAGCTTGTATGATGTGGTAAAACGTCCTAGAAGGGACCAAGAAGAACGGATAAACATCAGATTTATTAAAGGTCCTCTATTTATACTGTTTTTCATCAGTATATTCCAGGTCTCAGATATATACAAAACATGTCTCTGAAGTGTTTGGCTCCAAACACCAAACAGATCATTGTAGCATCCCATAATCCCCTCTGTTTCAGCCCTGTTTCCAAAGTGCTGATTCTCTGTCTGTTACTTCAGATGAAAATAAGGAGCCCCTCCCCACGCCCTTTTGAGAGAGATTTGGTTAAAAAGAAGACAATGGTGATCTTGGAGGGGATTCAGGTGATAAGGTGTGGCGGGGGGGGTACCTTGGTTGCTGATTGGCTAATGGTTACACAAGCCAAAAACATTTTATGACATCATAAAGTGGCCAAAATCTGATCAGCTCATTTTCAGACAGGTTTTTATATAAATGGATCAGGACAAAAAGTGAGCGAATCTTTTTTCCTGAAATGTCAGAATCAACACAAAAAGTGGATTTTGCATAATACGTGATCTTTAAAGCAAAAGGAAAACAAAGATAAAGATGACTTACAGGTCAACACAAGACCAGGCTCTTACCTTTTTTGAAAACCTCCAGGTTGCGGAACTCCAGCAGGTTATTCCCGTAGTAGAAGTTAGTGACATATATTTTGTCATTATCCGATTTTGGATCCTTCATCCAAGCTCCTTCATTCCTGCCAAAGGTGTTGTGAGTTACTGGTTCGGAGATGGTCGCCAAAGTGTCCTTACACCCTCCTGCAAAGAGACACAACAAGTGAGGATTTAGAAGCAGATAAACATCATTCAGACGTACGTCACAGAGTCTGAAAATAATTAGAGGCTTTTATTTTAACCAGCTTGGATGACAGGGAGGGTGAGGTTGCCACTAAAACACAAAGTCTAGATATTCACAGAACAATATAAATTCATCTTTCAAAAAAAATATGGAAAACTTTAAGGATCTTTCCATTTGGTATTTCCATCGAATCAGAGCAAATGTTAACAAGAAAATTAAAGGGGTTCTTAATGCTTGGCAATATATTTGGCATTAAGATGTTGTACAAAACATTCACAGATGTTTTTTTAAGCCACTGGCATTGTGGCTTTAGAGTTAGGAATGTTATTTGGTTATTTGGTCTGTCAGTCCACCAATTGACTGAAAAAGTAGTTGGAGGATAGCCAAGGAATTGTTTTCAGACATTTGTTTCCCAAGAGGGGAAACATGCTAACTGCTAGTTTCCCATGACTTGTTCTGGCACTAATATGAGGTTGCCATTTCAGTTTTTAAAAATAAATGTCGTAATAATAATTGGGGAAATTCCCATAACATGAATACGAAGCCTGCTATTTTCTGTATGTTGCGCCCTCGCCAGATCAAATTCTTCAATAATCCAAAACTTGGGTGTTACGTGCCAGGCAGGCTGTACTTGTGTAGTTCTCCTCCCCTCCTGTATATTCTCTCTTCTCCCTGTCTTCTTCACAGCTAATCAGCAGCTGATCGGTATCTGCCTGTGCACCTGAGTCTGATGGCTGATTGGATCCTCTCACCCTCAGCTGGCCTATCAGCAGCCAGGGCAGACCATAAAGGAGGAACCCAGGAAGTCTTCTCTCTCTCTCACTCTGGGCCTGTTGCTGATGAAGGAGCCTGCAGTGTTTAGCAACTCATTCTCTTTATATTGTCTGACCTTTTGAAAGTGTGTGTGTTGAGAGGTGGAGGAGTTAGGTAAGTCTGGGGTACCCTGTACATTTCTCACCACGTAGCTAACTAATGTTTAGACACACTATGTTAGCGGATTGTTAACACCCCTGTATATTGTTTTGTCAAATTATTTGTAGTTTAGTTAGTGAGGGTT